GTGTGTGTGTGTGTGTGTGCGTGTGTGCATGCGCGCTGCTCACCGTCGGGCGATGTCCATGTTTCGGTGCGCATTATCCAGCCCCTCCCGCCCGCCCCGTCCCCGGGGACCGCTTGCCTGGCGACGGCTGTTGGCCTGGCCGGTTCGAATGCCATTGGAAGCGATAGCAGGATGCACGTGCGCGGGCGCGTGGAGGCGTGATCCCGTCCCTTCTCGTCCCGGCGGACCGGCGGAGCGCGCGCGCCGATCGGCCCCGGAGCGCGGGGCCCTCCCGGAGCGTGGCGGGCCAGTCCTCCGGCGGAGGACGGTGAGGATGGTGAGGAGGACAACGACACCCAGTCGCCCGGCGCGCGCATACCCAGAGCGATGTCACCTTTTTCAGGCCGGATGGGGAGGGGGGCGAGGAGCGGTGCCCGGGGGTGTGCGGAGGGATGGTCTCCGGCGGGCGGGGGAGGGGGAATGTGCTTGGTGCCTGCTTTTTACCGGTTCTTTTCTTGGCTCGAGCCTGGGACCCCCTGGCGGTGGGTCGCGAACACGGGCGAAGTGTTAATTTCCACTCCCGGCCGTGGTCTTTTGGCGGATGGGCCCCTCGTCCGGTGCCCGGAGGGGGGGGGGGGAAGGCGGGGGGCGGGGCCGGGGCGGCTCGGCCACATTCCCGCGCCTCCCTCTGCTGGTCCTCCCCGGGTTGGCCCCTGGATTCTGGAGGAGATCGGCCACCTCGGGGGGAGGTGAGTCAAATGCCCCTTGCTGCCCGGCAATCCGGCGCCCGCTTGGTGTCGAATTGCGCCCGCCACCGCAGCCGCAGCTGGGGCCCCTGGATCTTTTCAGGAGGGGTAGGGTGACTGGCCGAGCCCGGGCTTAGGCATCCATGGCTTCCTCCCCCTCCCCCTCCCCCTGCCGACTGCCCCCTCTTTACTTGTATCCCCAGCCGGGGCAGTGTCTTGTCTCTCCCTCCCCCTCCCTTTGTTCTTCTTCTCTTCGCTCACCCCCCACCCTCGGCATGTACTCCTTCCAGGAGACCGAGCTCTACGGGGCCCTCTTCACCCGGTGTATCCAGGCGTCGAGTCGGCACCCCGTGACAGGGCCCGGCGGCGCCGGTGACACGGCGATCGTCACCCCGACCGATCCGTCGGCGCGCTTCAAGCCGGTGGAGGACCTGCTGGTTCTGGATGAAACTTCCGGTGTGTGGCCGCTGCTCAAGCGGACCCGGCTTTCGGAAGCCGACACCAAGATCGTGCGCATGCATGCATGCGTGTATGCACACGCACACGCACACACACACACACGCACACACACACACACACGCACACACACACACATGCACACACACACACACACACACACACACACACACACACACACACACACACACACACACACACACATGTGCCTCTTGGCCGGTCCTGCCGCAATACTAACCTCCCCCCCTTTCCCTGGACTGCCTCTTTCTCGGCCCGTCCTCCGGGGATCGCATGGCAGATTCTTGTGCTCCTGTTTGAGGGGCTGGTGCCAGGGCTGCCGGCTCCCTTTGGCCTGGCGGTGTCTCCGGCAATGTCGCCGCCCCAGGAGGGGCTCACATCAACCACCCCGGCCCCTCGCCTCAACCGGTCCACCTTCCGCCGGCTCATGCGCCTGGCGTCGCTCATCCAACGGGGCCACCTGCCAGGCCAGTGGCAGAGCTGGGCAATGGCCGTCATCGGCCAGAACTTGGCGGCCAAGTCGCCGCAGATTCGCTCCCTCTCCGGGGCCGTGTCACCGATTGAGATCGACAAGTTGGACAGTACGTGGACACCGCCTCCTGCCGGTGCCGGCCCTGCCCCTGGTGCGTACGCGCGCGTGCCAAGGTCACTTGCTAACGTGGAACCACGCCGCGGGGACCATCTCCCCCCTTCCCCTCCCTGCTGCAGACATTCTCCCGGTCGATCTTCAGGGACTCACGCTGCAGAGCGTGCAGATGGCCAATCGCGAGTTCGAGTCGCGCCGCATGGCCGACAGCCAGGCCGGCGCGCACGCCCCACCCATGCCGACCGCCCCTGGCGCTGCTGCCGCCACGCCGGCCGCCGCCGCCGCCGCCGCCGCCGCCGCCGGCACTCCCCCCGCACCCGTTGCCGCCACCGGCCCGGGGTCGACCCTTCCCTGGATCCCTCCCCCCCTGGATCGGGTGCAGTCGGTGTGCAAGTTCTTCCTGGCCCTGACCCAGGCCACGCACCCGGTGGCCGAAGCGGACTTGCCCTCCGTGGTGGCCTTCCTCATGGGCCCGGAGTCCGAGGCGCCGCCCTTCCTCCCGGCGCAGGATGCCTACGATCGGCTCTTCTTCCGTTCGGGCCTGCCGCCGGTGGTCCTCCGCCGTGTCTGGTGCGTGCGTGCGGGTGCGCACGGTCTCCCGTTCGGTGCCATGGTGTGTACATATACCCTTGCGCCGGCACTGACCCCCTTTTCCTCCATATGTCCCTCGGCCATTTGCACGGGCGCACGGACGCACGCACATGAACACGCCTGGCGCGCCCTGCGGCCTTGCCCTGCTGGACGGTCCCCTGCCGCGCGGCGCCTGCCAACCCTCCCCCCGCCCCCCGTCGCAGGGAGCTCACATCCCTCAACACCGGCAGCGGCAATGTCCTCACCCTCAAGGGGGTGGTCCTGTCGACCGGCATCCTGGATGGGCTGCGCACCATGGCCAAGATCAATCCCGCGCTGGCCGGGGCACCGGAGCGCCTGGTGGAACTCCTGCCGCCGGCCCCGGTGTCGGCCGGGTCCCCGGAGATGGCCCACATGCTGGCATGCATTCTAAGTGCTCCGGGTACGCCGGGGGCCGCGGCCGTGGCCGCGGCTGCCTCCTCCCCGACGGCCTCGCCCCCGGGGTCGGCCCTTCGCCCGGACAGCACCTTCTCGGCCATGATCCACTCGGGCGCCGGAGGAGCCGGGCCACCGGGAGGGTCCCTGCGCCTGGAGATCCCGCCGCATTCGCCGGTGACCGGAGCCGGGCCGCCCCTGTCGCCGGAGCTGGCCGGGTCCACCCTGTCTCGGTCGAACACCATGCGCGGCGCCACCCTCGGGGGGAGCACTCGGCGCGCGGAGACCTGGCTGGTGGACCCCTCGGCTCTGGCCATGGCCGGGAAGCTGATTGCCGCGCATGGTGGCCAGCGTCTGTCCTCGGTCCAGGTGCGGGACGTCCTGCTGTCGCACTCGGCCGGGGCCTTGACATCGGCCGGCCTGAGCCGGGTGTGGAAGCTGGCCAAACGGTCGCCGGCCGCCATGGACGGCCTTGGCCACGATGAGCTGGCGGTGGCCCTGATGCTGGTGTCGCTGGCGGCCGAGGCGGCTGGCGGGGTCCCGGGGGCTGGTGATGCGGCCGTGCCGGCGGTCCTGCTGCCGGCCCTGGTTCCGCCGCAGTTCCGCGAGTCGCCGGCCCCGGGCAGCCCCTCGCTGGGTTCCACCTCGAACGCCGGCAGTCCGGCGGCCCTGCACAGCCCGAGCCCGGTGGCTGGGCTGGACTCGCCGGGCCCCGGCTCGGGCCCGGCCTTGTCCGGCTCGCCGCTCATTGCCTTCGACACGCCGGTCGAGGTGCGCGCCCCATGCTCTGGCGAACGATGGATGACGGGGACTTGCTCCTCGTCCTCCTCCTCGGTGGGTGCTTTTCCTTTCCCGCCCTCCTCACTGACATGCCCCCGGTCCTGTGCTTTCCCCGGCCCTTGGGTCCTCTCCTCTCGTGCCTCCGGCGGGGTCGGCCCAAGCAGCCGGCTCCGGCCCCGATCGCCGCCCCCGCATCCGGGCCTTCGGCCGGAGAGCTGGAGGAGCTCCGCCAGGAGCTGCAAGCTGCCCGGGCCGAGGTCGCCGCCCGTGACCAGGCTCTCGAGGCTGCCCAGGCCGAGGCGGCCGCCGGCAGCCAGGAGCTGGCCCAGGTCCGCGACCAGCTGGCTGCCGTGCGGGACGATCTTGCCACGACCAAGGCGCGCTTGGTCCTCCTGCAGGCCGAGGGGGCCACCCTGCGCCAGGAGAAGGACGCCCTTCAGGAGAAGCTGTCCGAGGCCCTCCAGGCTCGGGATGACTCCGTGCACCATGTTGAGGTATGGCACCTGGCACCTTTTCTCGGACGCCGACGCGCCCATCCGCACGCGCAGCCCCGCGCATTCGCCCGTGGACTCACTCACACACACACACACACACACACACACACACACACGCCCCTGGCCGCGCCCTTGCCCCCCATGCTGCCCTGGCCTGGACGCTCTTTCTCATGCCCGGCCCTGGCCTTGGCATGGCCACAGATCCGTGACAAGACCATTCGCGGGCTGCAGCTGGAGCGCGACCGCCTGCTGGGGGAGGTCCTCTCCCTTCGTGCTCAGACGGCCGCCGGTGGGGTGGAAGCCCCCCGGTCGGGCCCGGCCTCGCCGGTCGGCGGTCATCCGATGCCGGTGCGGGCCGCCTCGCCGACGGTGGCGGCCGTGTCGGCGGCCCCTGCCGCGGCGGCCATCGACCCGTATGCCGCCTTCGCGCCGGAGTCCCTGATGTCGGTCGAGATTCCGGCGCCGACGCCCAGTGCCCCCGCACCGCAGGCGGACATCGATCTCTTCGGCGACAATGACCCTTTTGCCGTGGCAACTGTGCCGACTGTGCCGACTGTGCCGACTGTGCCGACTGTGCCGACTGTGCCGACTGTGCCGACTGTGCCGACTGTGGCCGCGGCCACGGCCCCGACCCCGGCCCCGGCCACGGCCACGGCCCCTGTCGATGCTGCCCCCTCATCCCCGGGCAGGGTCACTCCTGGCGGCTCGCACATCGGCATCCCCTTCGACCTGGCCAGCCTCAGCACCAGCAGCCTGGCATCCATGGCGTCGTTGGCATCGGCTCCGGCCCCGGCGGCTGTGCTGTCCCCGGCCCCGGCGGCCGTCCTCTCGCCGGCGTCCGATGCTGAGGACGCCTTCTTCGGTTCGGCCGCTGGCGCCGAGGTGGACTTCGATTCGGCCTTCGGTGGCGGCGCCGGCGGCCCCCCGGCCGATGGCGGGTCGGACATCAACTTTGACTCGGCCTTTGGCACACCGAGCACCGCGCCGGCGGCGCAGGTGGCCACAACCGCCGGCGCCCATGCCGAGGTGGACTTTGACTCGGCATTCGGGGCGTCGACCGGCAGCCCGGCGGCCCCGGCATCGCCGGTGCTGGCCTCGGCCGAGTCGATCGACTTCGACCAGGCCTTCTCGCCCCCGGCGGCCGGGGCGGCCCTCCCGAGTGGCGGACCTGCCGGCGTCCCGCCGGCCTCGGACCTGTTCGACTTTGACGGGGCCTTCGGGGGCGGTGCGGGCGGCGCCCCGGCGCCCGCGCCCACCTCGCCCCGGGCCCATGGGCCTACGTCCGCCAGTAGCTCGCTCACATCGCTGAACAGCATTGCCTCGGCCTCGGGCCAGGCGCCGGCCGTGCCGGCCTCCCCCCGGTCGGTTTCCTCCTCGACCACGGAGATGATCGACTTCAACGCTGCCTTTGGCGGTGTCGGTGGTGTCGGTGGTGTCGGTGGTGCCGGCGGCCCCGGCAGTGCCGGCAGCTCGCGCCCGGCCAGCATCATCGATGTGGACCCCTTCGCTGCCGGGGCTGGGGCCGAGACGTCGAGCCAGGCCCCGGCGCCGGCTGCCGCCCCCATGGCCGCGGAGTTCGACTTTGATGGGGCCTTCGGCGCGGCGGGCGCCGTCGGTGGCGCCCAGGCTCCGGAGGCGACCCCGGCCCGCGCCCAGGCTGACCCCTTCCTGGCGGCCGGCGTCGGTGAGGGGGACTTCGACGCGGCCTTCGGCGTTGGGGCCCAGCCGCAGAAGGCCCTGGCCGGGGTCGCGTCCCCGGCGACCGACGACTTCTTTGGCTCGTCGGCCGGCGGGACGGACACCATCGACTTCGATGCGGCCTTCGGCTAGTGAGCAAGCATGCGACTGGCGAGGGGCCGAGGGGAGGCGTGTGTGCCATAAGCGTGTATGCGTGTGTGTGCGTGTGTGTGTGTGTGTGTGTGTGTGCAGTTGTGCATGCACATGCCATGTGTGGTCCCGATGGGCCCCTCTCTGCATGCGCGACCATCATCACACCCCGCGTGGGATCGGAGGCCGGGGGGGGGGCAGTTCATTTTTCCGCCCTTTTTTGGCTCCCTGCTTTTTCCTCCTGCCTTTTTTCTTCGCCCCCCGCCCGGCCGCGCCCACACATCGGCGGCAATACACAACCCCCCGCAAGCAGCCCCGGTTCTACACGTGCAGAACGCGACTCCTCTCACGGACACGCGGCGGATGATCACATGCGTGGGCACCATCGTTGCACCATCCTCCCGCCCGGGCGGTGTGTGCGCGCGCGCGCGCGCGCGGGGCTGCCGCCCTCCTGGTGCGCCCCCGGGGTGTGCCTCCTGCTGTGGCCCGTTCGGCCGCCGGGCCAGTCTTGTCCACCATTACG